AGAGCTGGGAGGGCCCTTAGAACACAGAAAGTCAGAGCTGGGAGGGCCCTTAGAACATTGGATGTCAGAGCTGAGAGGGACTTTAGAACTTAAAATGGTAGAACACAGCATGAGAACATTAGAACTAGAAAGGACTTCGTCGTGGTTGTTTGGTCTTGTCCAACTCTTTGTGACCCTGTGGACCACAGCACGCCAACACTGTCCATTAGGTTTTCTTGGCAAAGATACTGTAGTGGTTGCCATTTCCTTCTCCAGTGGATTAAGGCAGAGGTGAAGAGATTTGCCCAGGGTCACATAGCTATTCAGTGTCTGAGGCTGAATTTGAACTCAGGTCTTCCTAACTCCAGGCCCAGAGCTCTGTCCACTGAGCCACCTAGCTATCAAACCTATCCCTTTATTTTACAGTTGAGGAAAACAAGATCCAGGGAAGGGAAAAGATTTTGGCAAAGTCACACAGAAGGAGCCAAGTCTGGAACCCAGGTGACTGTCTATCCAAGGCTCTTTTCTTCATATACCAAGATACTCACCTGTCCCCCTGCTGGCGGTTTACATACCTGGGGTCCAGCAGCAGGTAGGTGAAACTTGACTTAACAATCCCCTCACGCCACCTGTGGGTTGGGTCTGGCTGGTCAAACTGCTGGGCCATGACATCCTCATCATCCTGAGCATTAGGGACACAGCCTGTCTGCAGGGCCTGGCTCAGCTCTGGGCTGTGCCCTGCTGGGGCTGGACCATGTGCAAACCAGGAGAGGAAATGGGGTCAGAGTGTAGCCTCATTTGGGAGCTCACTGTAGAAGGGGGAGACAGTGTTTATCTAGAATAATCCCTTCATGAGGGAAACAGAGGCCTGAAGAAAAGACTTGCCCAGTCACACAGCGAATCACTGGCAGAGGCAGGTCAAACTGGGAGTTTGTTGAAGATTCCAGGATAATTGTTCCCTGGACATGGGATTTCTCTCTACCCAGAAGCCCCAGTGAAACCCATCTCCTCCCAGTGAGAACTCACCAGCTGGCCCCCCAGGGCGCCCCTCCTTCAGTCGCTTCAGGTAGTGTTGTCTGGTGAAGGGAGTGACAGGGCCTGGGCTCTCCCCAAGGGCCCGAAGATGCTGCAGCAGCTCCTGGTTGGACAGGGTGGAAGGGTCTCCTGATGGGAAGGGTGTGGATGAGTGACAGCTACATTGTCCATCTGTGACTGTGTCCTCAGCATGCAACAGAGGCTGGTCAAGGACACTGGGCCCAGGCTTGGGATCAGTATGCAGAGGTTCTGTAGGCTTTGGCCCAGAAGGCTGCAGGGACTGTTCCATGGGGAGCAGTTGAGGATGCAGGATTGGATGGACCACAGGTGGCTCTGGAGGCTTCCTGATGGAATTCCAGCAGGAACCGGCTCTGAGGCCTTGAGGGATGTGGTCCTCTTCATCTTCATCATCTTCTGTCAGCCACATGCTAGCCCCATCCTCACTACTCTGGGAAGTCTTGTCATCAGTCAGGAATTCATTAAATGGGACATCTTCTGTGAATGCTACCAAGTTGTCAGTCTGAGTGGTGAGGGGAACTGCTCTAGCCTCTTCTAAACTGTCCAGGGTTAGGTACTTTCCTTCCCTGGGATTCCCATTGTTTACAGAGCCTGGGCCACACCTTCTGGGCAGCATCTTCAGGGGTGGGCCCTGCTCCACACTCTCATCAGAAACGAAGGAGCTTTTGCCCTCACCATTGTGGGAGACCAAACCCTGGACCTTGCAGGGTGTCCTAGTGGTAACATCTTGGGGCTCTAGGGGGGAACCCAGAACCAGTCCTCTCAGCTGAGCATTCAGATGGATCACAGAGTCCCTACTGGCTGGTAACACGTGTGACTCATCTAGAGAGGGCTGGGAGTTCCCAGCATTCAGTATCATGGCCCTGAGCTCAGCTCTCAGGGCTGCATAAGCCAGATCCTTCCTGGGGGGCCCTGATGTCTGGGGAGCCCTGCTATCTGGGGAACACATATCCAAGGGCGCTATTAGGGTGGGGCTGGTCCCTGCCATGCTGCCTAATTGGGACCCACTCCCACCCTTCCTGGGCTGAGATGGTACAGCCCCAGTGGCATCTGGGGTGATGGGGCTGGAGGGGACAGCATTGGGCACCTGGGCATCAGGGCCAAAGGCTTCCACTGCAGTGAGGAAGGAGTCGCTAGAGGAGGTGCCCATATCAGCAGGGAGAGAGTTGGGGACTGTCTCATCTTGATCTTCCCAGGAATAGTCTGGTCCTGGGTGACAGAGGCAGCTGTGATCTGGGGAGATGTTATTCAGTGGCAAGTGGGACACAGAGCCCAACTTAGGAGTTGGGGAAGGTGGGGAAGTGGGTTGGGGAAAGAAGGGTGCAGGGAAGCTGAAGCCATTATCTAGCCCAAGTTCTTTCCAGTGTGAGGGCTGAGAATGAGCTGGGAGAGTCTGTCTTGGGAGGGTGCGCCCAGCCTCCAAAGCTTCGCTCTCCACCTCACTCCCGTCCGGATGGTGTCTGACTATGCTGCCCAGAGACCTCGGGCTAAATGTCACGTCTGAAAGTCCCCAGATGCTGGTGTCAAGGTCATCTCCATTCAGGGCTGAGAAGTCGTTGCCTTGATCCTCCCCTTTGCAAAGGGCTTGACAGAGGGGCACCTCTTTGGAGCCAGCATGCTCCCTCAGAATCTCAACACACTCCTCGTTGCCCTGCTCCAGGGCGAGGTCCAGCGCTCGTTTCCCATCCTAAAAGCAAAGCCTTAACGAGACTAGCCCTCCCCACCCCATGGGACCTAGTGCTAGTCACACGCTAGAGGACCCCGCCTTTCCCCACCCACTAAAGAAACCCTAAGTCCCAACGCCAGCCCTCCAGACCCCCTGGGCACCTGGTCCTGAAGCTCGGGGTCACCTCCCTGTCTCAGAAGGAGTTCTAGGCACTTGTAACAGCCCCAGGATGCAGCTACATGCACAGGGGTCAGGGCATCCTCCGACCTAGAGATAAGGGGCAATCAGACCCTGGGATCACAAGCTGTATCCTTAAACCAGGGTCTTCCTGACAGTAGGAGCCACGCCCCCGCCTCCAGATTGGTGGGGGAGGGTCCCTTCAAGGGTCGTCTGGGGTCTGTTCCCTACTCCCAGGGCCCCTCTATAGACAATGCCGCTGATGAGAGTTGGTTGGGGCAGGAAGGGGAAGTTGGGTCAGGAATTTCCTAATCTCCACTGAAGGGTTTTTTGGTCCCAGGGCCACGTGGGGGAGGGTCCAGCTGTGTCCCTGGGTGTCTGGGGAGGTGCCTGGGGAGCGCTGGGTCCTGGCGCAGTACCGGGCATTGGGGTCCGCTCCGTGCTGCAGCAGCACAGCCAGGCACTGCAGGCCGTTCTCCCGCTCGCTCCCCGCCGCCAGGTGGACGGCTGCTACGCCGTCCGGTAGCACCAGGTTGGGGTCAGCCCCAAGCCCCAGCAGCGATTCCACCTCCCTACAGGGAGCAGAGAACCCTAGGACTGGAGCCAGGGTCCCGGCCGGATAGCCGAGCCTGGATCGGGCTCCAGAGCCCCTAGCGCCCCCGGCCGAGCCCCGGGCCCCAGGGGGAGCA